AATTACTGCTGCAAGTTCATCCATAGAATTTTCAGAACTATTTGTCATGATATTACTTTAATTACTAGAAAGAGTTTTTACTAACATCTCTTTCTAACAATAAAGATATATCAGAAAGACAAAAGAACCAAACATTAATTAATTTCTAAAAGGGTTGAAACACAAGAACAAAACATTTATAAAATAAAACATTATTCATAAACTAAATAAAATGTATTAATTTAGAAACCAATAAAATGTGTAAATCACAGAAGCATAGAAAAAAATGTTCAGAATCTTTTCTTCCTAAATCAACTTACAGACAGACAATTAATACCTTGAGCTACAGTATGTGGAGTATGCATAAAAATTGTTTTCTGTTTCTTTTTTTGCGTTACAGGAGTAGGTACTTGCTTACTATTCTGTTGGTTATTATGTTTTCTCTTGCATAAGCATGGTAGTGGCTCCTATAAAAATTATTATCAAAATAAAACTAATAATACTTGAATTAAGTATCTTTTAAAATATTTACCGTTTTCTGAATCTGATTCTATCTGAGTATCACTAGTAGTGGCAAAATTAAATTTATCACAAAACTCATGATTTTAAATATACTTTTTCAACTGGAAAAGAATAGTAGAAAATATAATAGAAAAAATACTCATATATTAAAAATTTGTTCATGTAAAATAGCTAACAGAAAAATACAACTTTAAACTGTACGTTATGATACATTATACAATTGTTAAAAATTGCTAAATTTTTATGTTGATCCTTCTACCAACCTACTAAAGGAGCAAGCACAAATTCTTTTTTATACAACTTTACAAGAAAAATCTTTAAAAATTTAATAAAATTTTTTTAATATAAAAAATATTCAAACTCTTTAAATCACATGGATTGGTAAAAAAGCTTGATAAATCATTATTTTGTAAAACATCATCCATTTTCATACACAAATTCAACACAATAAAACTTTCCATTAGTTAGTAAAAAGCCATCTTAGGTTAATAAATAACTATTCCTTAACTGTTCCAATTAAGGTAACTCTTCTCTATATATATATATATATATATATATATATATATATATATATATATATATATATATATATATATATATATATATATATATATATATATATATATATATATATATATATATATACATACATACATACATACATATATATATATATATATATATATATATATATATATATATATATATATATATATATATATATATATATATATAATACATATATATATGTGTATATATATATATTTATATATATATATATATATATATATATATATATGTATGTATGTATGTATGTATATATATATATATATATATACATATATATATATATATATATATATATATATATATATATATATATATATATATATATATATATATATATATATATATATATATATATATATATATATATATATACATACATACATACATACATACATACATATATATATATATATATATATATATATATATATATATATATATTTATACACATATATATATATTATATATATTATATATATATATATATATATATATATATATATATATATATATATATATATATATATGTATGTATATATATATATATATATATATATATATATATATATATATATATATATATATATATATATATATGTATGTATGTATGTATATATATATATATATATACATACATATATATATATATATATATATATATATATATATATATATATATATATATATATATATATATATATATATATATATATATATATATATATATATATATATATATGTAAGAAAAACATATATAATATATATTTTATATTTATATAATATATCAAGTAATCTCTACTTGTAATCCACACTCATGAAATAATACGGTCATAAAGAAATATCCATTTAATATTTACCTTACTAAATGCATCACAAGTTAAGCCATGTATTATTGTTAAATTGTCAAATTCAAAACCTTATAAAAAGGCAACAGATGGCCTAATTTATTAGCATGTGTGACTTTACTTGTTTTTATTGGGCTAATATGTAACTTTTTAAGTCTTTACTTGTTATTTGTTAAGCTAATGAAAAATATTTTAAGTCACGCATGCGTGTTTTAGTTCTCATTTTGCAATTACGAATGGTCGAACTCGTAATATAGACGTTGAAATAACGTGGAATCAACGTCGATTTTATTTGATAGTTTTAAACAAATTTTTCAACGTTGATACAACGTTGATTTTTGGTTATACGACGTCGCGACTAAAAATCAACTGTAAATCAACGTCGAAATAACGTCGTGTGCCCACTGGGTTATATGTTTACATTTTGTTCGTAGTTTAATGCACAAAATTTTGTACGTAGTTTAATGTACAAAATGTAAACATAGTAAAATTTCGATTTAAATTTTCTTTAAAAATTCTAATAAGAACGATTAAAGAACGATTATAAATTCGAAACGTCAGCGGTGCACGTATATTTGTGCCCATTGTTGCCATAAAAAAAAAAATTCCGAGAAAATTCTTCGTGGCCCATCATTGCCATGGCCATATGGCAATGGCAATGATGGGCCACGAAGAATTTTCTCGGTAAAGTCGTATGGTCATACGACTTTACTTTTATTATTTACAAATTCCGTATATTATTTACATCTTCCGTATAAATATATTAACTGTTAAAATGGCGATACAAATTCGAAACAGCACTTGGAAAGAAGACATAAATGTTAAGGACAGCTTGGAAAGCTATATCTTTCAAGAAAAGAAATTTTAGACTTCATAAAAATAAGCTTTTGTCAATATGCATGGAGTAAGAGAACTCTTGATAGGCGTCTTCGACATTTTGAAATATATTTTATTGATAAAAAATGTTTCGGTTCAGGATGTTCAAAATGCTATCAAAATAGAATTAGAAGACCCTGGTGCACTACTTGGATACCAAGCTATGCTGAACTTCTAGGTATTACACGGTGCTCTATGATAAGACCATTAGGACTTCTTGTATTACCTAAATAACTAATTAAATAAAAAAATTCTTTACACACATTGCCAGTGGCGTCACAAGGAGCTGCGGGCCGCACCAAGTGACACCATCACGGCGTGACACAGAAGAGTGGCACCAAAATGAATAAAAAGCAAATATGACAGAACTTTTTTCTAAAGGACCTTTTTAATCCTTTTTTTTTAATTTCTAATTATAGAGGACTTCTTTTAATTTCACCTTTCACCTATTAGTCTAGAGGTGTGACACCAACCTTAGCAGCGCCACTGCACCGCACCAAAATAAGAACGTCATTAGTAACAAAATGTTATATTTTTATTATTGATATTATTATTTTTAAATTAAAACTACAATAACTTGCGGTATCGCAGACTTGAAGCGGACACTTATTACATTGACAAAATTGACCAAATCGAATAAACAAACAATATTGACGTAAAAAGTATATTTGTGAAAAAATAGTTTCGAAATCTAAGCTTTAAAATAAATTTCGTTGTTTTCTTTGTTAATGTCGCCATAGACAATAAAGTCGAAGTTCTCCCTTATGTTAATTATTAATAACAAGTTCACGTTTTAAATTGAAACTTCATCTAAAAACTTAATAAAGCAATCCCTGAAAAAAACTATTGAATGTAGGCGCTTGTGGCACTAATCATTATAACGATTAGTTAACATCTACATATTATGCTGTAATTTATAGTAAGACCAGTGCACGCATGGGAAGTATAACTTTTTAAATGGTATTTAAACTATAAATTAAACAAATGTATTAAATTGCTTATAATTAAAAATAATTATATATATATATATATATATATATATATATATATATATATATAGATATATATATATATATATATATATATATATATATATATATAGATATGTATATATATATATATATATATATATATATATATATATATATATATATATATAAATATATATATATATATATATATATATATATATATATATATATATATATATATATGTATGTATATATATATATGTATGTATATATATATGTATGTATATATATGTATGTATATATATGTATATAAATACATATATATACATATATATATATATATATATATATATATATATATATATATATATATATATATATATATATATATATATATATATAACAAATGTATTAAATTGCTTATAATTAAAAATAATTATATATATATATATATATATATATATATATATATATATATATATATATATATGTATATATATATATATATATATATATATATATATATATATAAATATATATATATATATATATATATATATATATATATATATATATATATGTATGTATATATATATATGTATGTATATATATATGTATGTATATATATGTATGTATATATATGTATATAAATACATATATATACATATATATATATATATATATATATATATATATATATATATATATATATATATATATATATATATATAATATATATAATATTATATATATATATATATATATATATACATATATGAATATACATATATATATATATATATATATGTATATATACATATATATGTATATATATATATATATATATATATATATATATATATATATATATATATATATATATATATGTATATTGTTATAATGTCCTAAATGATTAATAATAATTCAAACACACACTGAGTGGCTTATGATGAATTTTATGCACTGTTATAATACCTTAAATCCCAAAAGATTACCAATAGCATTTTTTAATGACCAGTGCATTTTATACTTTAAAATTTTTCAACTAAATCCGCAGTGCTTCATTCATCAAAGATATTTTATAGTTAAGAGCCCTTTTTTTTCATTTTGTAATGTCACTATTCTAATTAACTTAACCAAGAGAAAAAAGGACTGAGAGCAAAGATTTGGTTTTATGTCATAAAGAGGAGTTAAAAATCTAGGGCTCTATTTTACAGCCTAGTACTAGGCTGTCTTGATTTATATACTTAATATGTATATAGGTAATAATACATATTACATAAGAATAATATATAAGCATACATAATAGTACATACTTCAATACATGTAACATATACTATAAGTATCTATATTTTAAATTAGATGCAATTGTGTTAGAAATAAAAATGGTTTCTGCATGTGTTTTTCCTGAAGAACTTATTACAAAACCATTGAGTTATGTAGCACTGACAGGTTTGGACACTCAAAATAATGCTATTCATAGATCAATTTGGGATACTTTTACAATAAATAGACGTCAAGAGAAATTACTTAATATTCAATTATTGCCAGGAGACACAGACTTTCCTAAAAGAAAACAAAAGCAGGTAACTTTTTTTCAATGGTTTTTTTATTTTTTAATATTTTTCCTTATCTTAATCTTATATTTTGATGGTAACCTTTTTCATTATTAAAAAGTAATCAATTAAAAAACAAAAATTAATTATATTACATGGAATTAGCTTGTTATTTTTTAATATATTGTTGAAACTTTTATTAAATTGCTTTAACAAATGATAATAATTGATAATATTACTTATAATAATTAATGATACTAATAAATTTTAATAGTAAATAAAATAATAACAATGATAATAATAATAATAATAATAACAATAATAATAATAATAATAATAATAATAATAATAATAATAATAATAATAATAATAATAATAGTAATAACAATAATAATAAATAATAAAAAAAAAATAGTTATATATTTTTGATTGAATTTGAAAAATCATATTCACTTCAAATTAAAACATGTGAATCTAGTAGAGTTATATTTTAGAGAACCTCTTATGAATCTTATGCATTAAATTATATTTTAGAGAACCTCTTATGAGTTTTATATTCCTAAAGGAATACTAAAATGCAACTGGATGTCAAAGCACCTAAATGTTATTCCTACTGTTGTTGTTGTTTTTTACGATCTTGACTGGAATGATCAACAGTGGAAAGAAAAACAATCAGAATGTGCTTCTAGAGTTGCTGTTATTAGGTAAACTTTACTTAAACTACTATAATGATATGAAAACTATAAATTGTTAACTTAAAATAATATAAAATAAAAAACTTTTATTTTTAATCAATGTGTTTTTTTATTTTTCCAAGTTTTTATTATTTTATATTTTATCTGTTTATTGTAGTTTATATAATATAAGTTTTATATGTTTTGCCTTAAATATATGCTTTATCATATGATTTAATATTGATGAGTTATTAACATATAAATCTATTTAGTTATATTAAATCAAAAAATTATTAATCAAAATATATTTAAATACCTTAAATATATTTTAAACCTGTTTTTGAGTTTTGAATAAACATATATAGTTTATCAGTGACAAAAATATAATGGAAAAAATGTATTTTAGGTACAATAATAACAAATCTTTGCTGACTTTATCTTCTTGTAAATCTTTGGTTGGATCTTTAAATATTCTTAAATAGTTCCTTAAATATGGTTTTAAAAGTTTTTAAAGATATTTTAAATTTAGAATTTCTGTATGTTTATTACAATTATTATTTTTTATTGATTAATATCATGATGATGTATATTAGTCACATTTAATACTATTTTCACAACACAACTGCTCTAGGCAATGCTTAGAAGTTTATTTTTAAAAGTTCTATTTTTTTAGCAAATAAGTACAGGGTATTGTAATGGAATTCACACTTTTGTTTATATATATATATATATATATATATATATATATATATATATATATATATATATATATATATATATATATATATATATATATATATATAAATATATATATATATATATATATATAATATATATATATATATATATATATATATATATATATATATATATATGAATTCTCAAAATTCTTTAGATGAGCGTTGTTTTTACTGCTTATAAAAAAAGTTTTATATTATCTCGCTTCCTGCTGAGGCCTGATGTATATATGTAACTTCTTTGTTTCTTTATTTTCTTTTTATTCACTTTTTATATAGAGTGAGTCTTCAAGATCGAAGTACGAAGATTGCAGTAGTCCTTATTCAGAAAAATATGCCATTACCTCCTGGTAAAAATTGTTTAATCTAATTTCTTGTTTAAGGTAACCATCATGTAGTTGTTTAAGAATGGGCAATTCGAAAATATAGCTTTAAAATAAAAAATATCAAGTTAATATAAAAAAATAATGTTGCTTATGAGCATATGAATGTCTCTGTATTTTTTGTATGCTTTTTTAATAATTACTTTATTTGTAACACGAGTTATTTAAGGTGAATAACAACTTGTTTGTAATACTTGTTTAAGGTGAAGATCCACAAGCTGTTCAAAGAGCTGAGGCATTGTGTCAAGCTTGTCAACTACCATCTAAACTTTTGTTTGTGATACCATTTAGCGACAATCTCCAAGGTTACATTTCAAGGTACCTGCTTATCATATTTACATTTAGTAATGTTGTCAATTTGAAATCAAAATTGTTTTGATTTTAAATTTACACTAAAAATTTTTTTAGTATAAATTGCACTAAAAACATTAAATGTTTGAAATTTTAAATGATTTTTATTTTCTGACTTATATGCGTTGTAATATGCGTTATATGCATATTACAACGCATATTAGTGCGTTAATATGCGTTGTAAGCAATTAACAACAGTTGGTTATAATATATTAAGCATTCCAGCATAAGCATATAGAGAACAAAAGTAGACATATTGTTTTGGTTGATGAAGATGTGAAAATGTAATCAAAACTTAGATAAAACCTATTAAACTTTAACAAATGTTTCTTGAAGATTTGAACAGCTTACTTTTTTTTTCTGAAATATTGTATATAATTTGCTACATGTTGCAATTGATTTCTTATTTTTCCTAATTACCTAATATAGTAAATACTTGGTGTTTAAGCTGCAAAGTTATAAAAGTGTATTAGTAATAGTATTATTGTAGCTAGACTGGTTGATGGTATATTATAGACTGGTCAATGGTATATTATGGTTGTTATGTTGGCTTATTAGTTAATATCATGGGTATGCAATTTATTGGTTAATATCATGGTTATGCAATTTATGTAATAGTTTATAGTTACTTTAGTAGTTGCAATATAGTTTTAATTTGAAACTAATTGATGAACTTGTTAACAGTTTAATTTTTAACTTCATTATATCAAGTTAATTAAAAGTCATTTCACTAAAATAATCATTATACTTATTATTGGTATAGAAAATACAATTGCGTTCCATAGGTTTGTTGGGATGGCTTATTTGCCAATAGAATATGATATTTATTTTTTTATTTGTACTTGTTTCTATGCTTATATATATTTAAGACTTGAAGGAGCGTTTTGTGACATTGCTTACAATCATTACACCTCAGAAGTACGCTTTGTAAAGCAACATAAGGTAAATATTTTTATTGCTTTTGTTTTAAATGTAATTTGGAACAATTTTGAATGTAATTTAGAAATTAATCTTAATATATAAATTCAAGCAAAAAATTAATTTTAACAAGGCAATGTTTAGAAGGTTTGTGAAACAAAAATAGTTTATATATATTTTATATTTATATTAAACTTAAGAAGAGAGTTAATTTTAAATTTTGGAGTTAATTTTAAAATATGTTTTATGAAATAATCACTTATCTTCTATATATTTATATTATATTAAATAATCACTTCTATATATTTATATTGATTTTCTTTATATATGATATTGATATTCTATCTATTTATATTATTTTATATTAATTTGAATTGAAAATTTAGTATATTAAGACTGTAGTCTTTGAGTTATTTTGTATTCACATATATGTTTTTTTATTTAAGGAACTGTTGAACAAATCACAGCATCAGGTACTTCACATTTTAATTTTCATGGTTTTTTAAAAAATTTCTAAACATTTAAATTACTTGGATGATTTTGTTTCCATTTTTTAATTTTGTTTTCTCCTAAATATTGGAAGTTTAAATTTAATCAATTAATTAATTTAATAAATCAATTAATACCACTTATGTATTTAAAGCTCTAAAAATAATTGATTTAAATTTCAGCAACTCTTTGTCAGGCATCAATTCAAAATTGGATTTTACAATGAACTTAAACAAGACCTGCCTGTAGCACTAAAGTAAATTGTTCTTTTTGTTTTTGTTTTTTTGTTTCGAATAAAAATCTCTGTTTTTTTTAAAAACAAACTAGTGTCATACATTGTAAGGCAGAGATGCATGTTGTATTAGAACAAAAATTTATCCAAATACTTTGTTAATAATAGTATTGTCATACACAAAAACTAAGGAAAAATGTATCAAATTACGCATTGTTTCAAATTCATACACTAAATGTGTTAAGAATATAAGCAGTCAAAAAGTCATAATTTGTAATCATAAGATATAATTTGTAAAATCTCTAAAAGAATTATGCCGATAAAGTTTTTTTTTCTTTTCGATTTTGTTAATATTTTAGAGACCTCCATCTTTTTGGTGCAACCATTTTCTTTTTAATTAACATGTCGGTCATGTGTTCCTGCGTTTCAGTTTTTTTTTTTCCTTATTCAGTTTAATGTTTTAGATCTGTTTTTGTTTGTAAATTATTAGGTCAAATAATAAATAATTTGTTTCTAAATTTAAATATTGAATATTTTTTAAAATACAGAGTTGTGCACTTGGTATTTTCCTATATCAATCTTATATCAAATGTTTTTTTTAATGTTTAAGTTACCAGGTTTTTTGGATATATTTTTTTAGACACTATAAACAGGCGTATCAGTTCATATTAGAACAGCGATTGACAGATGTTAATAATTTGGAAGTAAAAGTGGTTTCTGGTTTCCTCAGTTACAAAGTAATTAATATTTAAATTACTTTTAAAAGTGTTATTAATGTATAAATAAATAAAAATAATAAATGTAAAAATAAATAAAGAGACAATAAAAAAGTATGCCAGTATGATACAAGTTTTTCTGTAGAACACAGTCAATAAATATTGAATTTAAAAAAATACATGTAATAAAAAAAATACATGCTTAAAATTGTTATATATATTTAAAATATAAAAATAAATCAGAAATAAATCAACCAAAAATAAATAATAATATTTATAAATAAAAAAATTATGTGAACACTATTATTTACAGTTCATATCTTTTTTAATTTATAGTTTTTTTTTCAGATATGTCGAATTTCTTTTCAAAAAAATGCCCCTCTTGATGCTATTACTCAATTTCGAAAACATATTGACTATTTTAAAGGAAAAGTTGGGGGTAGCGAGCTTGCTTTTGAGCATGCTGCATGGATGGCCAAACAGTATTTTTTATTTTTGTTATTATTTATTTTTGTTTTAACTTCTTTTGGAAATTTCAACTACTTTTAAATCTTTATTTGGACCTGTAATTTATTGTTGATATCCTTTTATGATTAGATTCAGTTTGTTTGGCGATTTATTTCAAGAAGCTATAAAAAATGGTCTTCAAGCCATTCAGGTAATATAATTTTTTTCTTTCAGAATTTGTTACACTTTTAAGAGTTCAACTAAATTACAAGAGTTGAACTAAAGTTCAAAAAAACAAAATTTCAAAATCTTGTTAAAACTCAAAACAAAAAGAATAAAAGTTTTATATAAAATATAATAATATAAAAATATAAAATTGAACATTAGTATAAGAGGTTTACTGTTTTGGCAGAAGTTATTGCAAATTGAAAATTTTTACTTTTGAAAACATTTTTCTATTACTTCAAAGGTTTTTTATCAGTATTTTTCTTTTAGACTCAGCATCCTGGTTTTTATTACCAACAAGCTGCTAATCACACAATAATAAGAAGAGAAAGATGCAAGGCTCTTTGTGTTGTAAGCATAAAATAAGATAAAATTAAAGTAAAAAGCTTAAGCATAGGTTTGATTTTACATAAAATTTTAGTCTTCAGTTCCGCCTGGCGCAGAGCTCTTAGTGGATATAAACAATCTGGAGTTTTTTGGCCAACGTTCTTGGAGGCAGGGTTGTCAAGGTAAATTTGTCAATTTGAATATGTGTACACACAGATTTTTTTATTTTGCACAATTTTTCATAAATAAACACTTATAAGAAATTAATTCTCAAGTTAATATACTTCAATATTTACCAAAAATTAAATTACAGATAGTAAATGTCATAAGCGACTTTACTGTAATATTATATATAAAAAGTTACTGTAGCATTTCACACAGTGGAATTTCACACATATGTAGAATAAACTGATACTATTATGAAAAGAATTCTTTAGAATTTATTATTTCTGTTCTTTTAACATATTTTTGCTGGGTTTTTTTTATAATTAATAATTAAATTCAAATGCTGTTGAGTGTTTGGCAGTATCTATGACAGCCAGTGCAATAGTTGTCTAAAAATTTAAAAAGACTAGCATAACAAGCATCAGTCCTTTCAGAATTTATTTTAGCTAATTTTTCACCTGAAGCAAAAGCAATACTATACCAAAAGCAATTCTCCACCATACCATAAGCAACCCTCCATCATACCAACAGTAGTTTCAATGCAGTTCTGTTTCAATTAGCCTGAAGGTCTGTACCATTTAAAAAATTTTTTTCAAACCAATTTATTGTAGTTTCCATTGTATTGTTATTTCAGATGCATTTAAAGCTACTTCTTTTCAGTGGCAATGCTAATATTTCTGAGCATTATGTGACTTTCTGCTAAATCAAAAGTTTTGTTCCTCATTTATTACTGGGTTTTGTACTAAACCATTGAATGTATTGCATGTTTTTTTTCTCAAATTGAAATGAGTCATTTGTTCTTAGTTTTTTGTAATTTATTTTATTTTCTCTATCAGTCTGATTTTTATACTTTTACTGGTTTACGTATTTTGTGGCATTTTAGCTTAAAGGATTTTGATTTGCCAAATATTCAAAAATAATATTTAATTATTTAGTTTAAGTTTTGCGTTGGTATAAAACCATGAAATAACATGAAATGTCACTATAGAGTTATCACATGAAATCTTTGAGCACAATTAAAATAATAAGATAAAATTAATTTTGTTCAACTAAAAACTTATTCAGCTAAAAATTTTGTCCAACAACTCAAAAAAAGTTTAAATAGTAGTTGTTGTTTTTTATATATAAAAGCTGCAGAAGTCCCTGATCCAGTCATAGAGCATGCTGGGATACAAGCTCTTCAATTAGAAGAACTTAAAGTAGAACACTGTGTAAGTTTTGATGTTTTTTGTTTATTTGTGCTTAAAAGTTCATCATAATATGTTTACACAATATCATGTGTTTATTTTAATCATATTTTTTTTACAATAAATGGTTGTTGTTTTTTGTAAAATATTTAACTATATGTGATATCAGGGAATTTATATATATATATATATATATATATATATATATATATATATATATATATATATATATATATATATATATATATATATATATATATATATATATATATAAAACATGAAATATATACTATAACAATTATAACATGAAATATATACTTTTTTCATGTTATAATCGTTGATTTATTTAGGTTATTTATATAGTACGGTTAATTAAAATTTAAAAATGTTAAATCTATCTTTCTTATTTTATTCTAAAATTTATTTTATTTATACTTTAGTGGATTATAATACCATTATTGAGCAGTGCTGTAGCACAATTTCGAGAATACAAGTCTGTACGCATGAAACTTTTTCTCAGTAAGTAACATATTTGACAATGCAAGCAAAAAATATTTTTTTAATATTTTTTATCCTCTTGTACCTTAGTGATTACCATCTAAGTGATTTATATATATATATATATATATATATATATATATATATTTATATATATATATATTTATATATATATATATATATATATATATATATATATATATATATATATATATATATATATATATATATGTATATATATATGTATATGTATATGTATATGTATATGTATATGTATATATATATATATATATATATATATATATATATATATATATATATATATATATATATATATATATATATATATATATATATATATATGTATATATATATATCAAGCTGCTTACTAAAATTGTAAAGCAATAATATCTCTAAAAACAAGCAGCTTTGTAGTTTGTGCTTTTGGAAATTTTTTCTTCGTGCTGTTTCACCAAGCTTTATAATTTTTTTTTTCAACAAATATTATTCTGCTTCTAGCTATTTGGTGTTTACTTATTAAACAGGTTATTATTATTACTTATTAAAGGATTTACTTATTAAACCAACATAGCTCAGACAAAATGTTGTTGACAAAGAGGTGACAAACAAACAAAAACGTTTACTACTTCTTGTATTCTTAAATCTATTTCTGCTAAAAATAACCTTTATAAAAAATTTACTTAAAAAAAATGACAATACAAAAAATCATCTAATTACACAGGGGTGTGGAGTCGTAAAAAATAAGTAACAACTACGACTTCAAATTTTTTGAGTACAACTCCGACTCCAGTTGTTGAAATTTTTTGAGCACAATTCCGACTCCAACTCTGACTCCGACTCCAACTCCAAAGCAAAATTTTTGAAAAATTCTTTGAATTCTTTAAAAAATATTACGCGATAAGTTAAAAAAATTTATTACGCGATAAGTTAAAAAAATTTATTACGCGATAAGTTAAAAAAATAAGTTAAAAAAATTTCATAAATTTTGACAAATTTATGAAACGTTCTTTAAGGTTTAGTATGAAAATAAGGTTAATTGAGTGTTTTGTACATGTACGTGCAATACCAAGAACTTTTACTATTGGAGTCGGAGTCGCGATTTTGTTTAGCGATTCCGACTCCGGTTCAAATGTTGCAACTCTGACTCCACAGCCCTGTAATTACACAATTATTTTAATATTATTATTTCTTATATTATATTATTTATATTATATTATGTATTTATATATTTATTTTGTTATATTACATTATTTGTTATTTTATTATTTATTTTGTTATCTGCACAGAAATAAAATAGCCATGATATTCTAACAAAATTGTATTATGTATTAATTTTTAATTACAACCTCAATAATGTTAAAAACACTAGAAAATAAATTAAATTAAGGATATCATAAACATTATAAAAGCACAGATTTCAATTTCTAACAAAGAGTCTTTTTTCTTAAAATTAATGAAAATGTCATTTTGATTGTCATGTGTTAATAGTTCTAATTATATTTCTACTTTTCAAGACATAAATTGTTCCTTTTAAATGTGTATTTGGCAACATTCTTAAAATTTCTAATACTTATTCTTTTTCCATTAATCCCATAACTGTAAATGAGGTATCCAATCTCATAAAACTTTTAAAAATATCTTCTTTTTTTTAAACTGGTTTTTAAACCTTGTGTAACCTCGAAACCTCTATCTATTATTATGAATAATACATAGAGGTTTCGAGTAGCTTTTAAAGCAGCCAAAGTAGTACTCAGTACTCCAGAATTTTTTAAGAAAATATCTTTACAAACACCAATATGATTTCCAGTCTTCAACTTATACTTTAATAGAAACAACAAAGAAGGTTAGGCAGGCCTTTGATTATGAATAAGACTTAGTGGAGTTTTTGTAGATAGGCCTTTGATACAGTTGAGAACAAAGTCCCCCAACAAAATGAAACAATTTTAGAGGAATTCTTTTACTAGTTTTCATCTTATTAATTGTTATAGAAAAGTTTGTTTTAATTAATGGTATTAACTCAAAACTAATTTTTTAATGGTGTTCCACAAGTTATTAGAATCTTTTTTTTTCTTCTTTTTATTAATGATCAATTTTAAATAATTTTAGATTAAGTGTTCAAAAAAAAATCTTAATAATTCTATCAAATATCTTGAAAATCAAAATAGGTTCTAATTTATTATTTTGTATCTCATCTTCAAGATTTAACGTTAAAATTAAGCAGACCAAATAGAATGATGGTCAAATTTCATTTTTATTTCAATTGCAAAACTCATGTTGTGAAAAATATTTTCAGATATGCTTGTCTTTTAAATTAATTTATTTCCAGCATAGTAATTCAAACTCTATCCAAAGTTCTTAAATTATATTTATATAATAATATATGTAATACATAGTCTCGTTAAATTTGAAACCAACATAATAATAAAATACTTCTTACATTTTAATAGGTTACATTAACTTCTTACATTTAACAACTTTTGGAATTATAGAGAAAGTTGTAATTATATTCTATGATTTTCTAGTAGAAATAAAACATCAACCAATAATTGTTCCTATAAGGAGCAACGCTCTTTCAACAATTCTTATAAAGTGCTCCAATCTTGATATTACTATTCGAATTTAATTGTTTTTTTTTAATGGTTGGACCATACCATGGGTCCATTGGTAATTTTTTGCACTTTTTTGCTTGTATTATGGACAAACTGAACCGCGAAGTATTCCAAAGGCAAATTAGATTTTTTAATTTTTTTTTAAATTGTGTTTTCTAATAGAAGAAAATTTAAATAATAAATGCTATGCTTAATTGCTTTTTTTTTTGAGCAATGAATTTTTTTTTGATCAAAAAATTTAAAAATATCTATTTTTATTCTTATTTTTTATTCTTCATATTCTTTTTATTTTAATTTCTATTTTGACTATCATTTATATTTTCAGTTATTAATTAGCTTTAAAAAAAGTTATATTGTAACAAAACGCAATCAAAAAAAAAAAAAAAAATGAAGCTTACTAGAGATAGGGCAGAGGTTTGAGAAAATTTGTTAGGTGATAAACTGCCTACTGGCAAAGAAGTTTTCAATACTATTTATATCTGAGAAACTGGAACCCTAAAGTAAATTGTTTTAATTAGGTGCCACTTGAAAATAAATTTAATTAAGCTCTTATGTTCTTCACAGGCTAATTTCTGTGTAGTTTCTAGATTAGTAAAGCCACAAAATACAACATAAAAAAGATAATGCGTGGACCATTTTAATGTTTAATTAGAATACTTAATAATTTTTAATTATCTCGATAAATAATTTGTTTAGGAAAGTTTAATTATTTTTAACTAATATAATTAATTGATGAAGTTTATGTAAACTTTTAGTAACTTATAATATACTTATAGTAACTTATAACTTGCAACTTATTTTCTAAGGTTTATGGTTAAGATATGAACACAGGGATCTCTTTAAAATTAGTTTTAGACTAATTGAAACTGATTAAAACCAGTTTTGTAATGACAAGCTAGATAAGACCAACTTGGTTTTGATCTGGTTTTAATTTATCCAGCACATAACTGTATATACAGGTATTAAAACCAAATCAAGCATCCTAAAGCTTTTAAGCTATGGTAAGAATTAAAATGAATTTGACCAGTTTGAATCAGTTGTAACCTAAATATTATCTGATTTTGTTGATTTTTTTCTCAATTTTTGTTTTCTTTTATTTTTCATTATAAGACCATACCTTCTTGAAAATTTAAACTTTTAAAAAAAATTTCATCCTAATGTAGCAAATATGCATTAACAATCTACCTTGTTTTTGAAGGAAAGAAGCTCTCACAGCAGTAAGCAAGTGTTTTAGCTCATTCAGGAGGTGGTGTTTCTAACTTTGTACTATCTTTTTTAAATACTTTTAGAGTTACTTGTAACTAAAGAAGAAGAAAAGACTGTAAAACACATTAATGACCTTGTTTTATTTACTTCATTACCCATTATTCTTCATTTTGATCGAATGGTAGTTTAGGAATTCACAAAAAGAAGCTTGTTAGACATTTTTTGTCAGATTTGGTGGATTGACTGAGTTTTTTCAAATTACCATTGTAACTTGTACTGACCAAACAGAGAAATCAAATTAAATACAAGTTTCATCAATTTTATATTTTTAATTAAATAACTTTTGTAAGTACTGGTAACAAGTGTTTTTATTAAATTAGCCGCAGAATTTTACAGACCTCTACTTTACCACAAACATTACATCAATGACATCCAAACATTGTGACAAATAATCTTTGACTTGACTTTGTTTAAGATCAAGATCAAGAACAATGTTAATATTGTAAATATACAGAATACACTGGAGAAAATAAGTTTGGTAATAAACTGTTTTGTGTTTAAGTAATTAATAAGAAAAAAGACGATGGAAACCTGGACCTAAACATTATGTCAGATTTATGGCAAAGGAATTCTTCTAGACAGCATTCCTTGCTTGAGCAATTTTAAGAAAAAATATAAGATATAGTATTCTTCACAGCTATATTTTACACTGATTGGTTTAATTGGTTAAATTCCTGTTGTTTTTTCATATGAGTTTTTGTTGCTTCATATCAGTTGTTTTCATTTTATATTAGTTGTTGTTGCTTTACATTGTTTATTGTCGTTTCATACCAATTGTTGTTGCTTTTTATCAGTTGCTTTATATCATATAAAACAATAACAACTTATATAAAGCATTAATGTCTGATATGAAGCAGTTTATTGCTATCTTAAGATAAATAAGAAAAAGCTCACAATTTTTAGACAATCGAGCAGACAACTGAAATAAGCTTTTATAGCGAGTGTCTTTATCAAACATTAATCATATTTATCTCGCAAACATTAATCATATTTATCTCGCAAACATTAATCGTATTTATCTAGCAAACATTAATCATATTTAGCAAACATTATTTGGAAAACAAGTTATTGTATTTAGGCATGTAATTAATAAAAAGTTTAATCTACAAACCAACAGTTAATCTTTTCACTTTCTGCTTGTAAATTACCAACACACTTTTTCTTTGTAGCTTTATAGCAAATATTGTTTAAAGGAAAAGTAATTTAACATAAATTCAAAAATGACTGCTTGCTGATTTTAAATGAATTTTGAAAATACAGGTTTAAAACTTGTTAAAAACTGGTAAAACTGCAGAGATTAAGCAGAATTAATATAAAACTTACTTTTATAGAGTTATTACTAATATAAATAAGCTAATTCCGAAAATTAGGTGACAAACAAGTGGAAGGTGGAACATTCATTAAAACTATTTATTCTAAATACTAAATTGTAAAATTTAATAATGAACAACAAACAAATGTTTCATTTTTTGTGCTTTACAAGCTAAGAAAGGTTTATTGCAGTGTGTGTGTTTAAAACCAAACCATATCTAAATGGAATTACAAACAAACTATATTCATTTTTAAATAAAGAAAATAGTTACTAAAGTTGTGCAAGTTTATATTTATTTACACGTTATTAGTACTACCATTATTACTATAATGGCAGTACTAATAAAGTGTAAATAAATACACTTAATATTGTTAAAAAATAGTAACAAATATAATCTTGTAATTTTTGTTGTTACTATTTTTACTAAGCTTGACAGTTTATTTTAGATTATTTAGTAATTGCTTTTAAATTAGCAACCATTAAAATAAATTAGTAATTATTTGTAAGTATCCTTAATAAAAGAACTTTTCAGAATTTAATTATATTAGTTTTTAATTTTGAAAACTTTACTTTTATAATTTTAAATTAGGTTCTTATCTAAATACTTAAAAATCAGTGAATATATTGAATATTATAAATGCTTATTTTTGTTTTATCAACTGTTTTTCTATGTGCAGCTGTTACAATTTTACTTTAGTGGTACAGATGGGTGAAGAATACTTTAATGCTAAAGATTATAACAAAGCTTTAACGTAAGATCTTTATGTATTATATTTCTACATATATTTTATTTCTTTACTAAATAATTAACTGCCCAGGTACCAAACAATATTTGCAAAATCATGGGTCGTTATTGGAACAATATTGGAACAATATTTTAAACTCTATTGTGCCAATATAAGAATCTCATTATTTTATCTATATTGGTGATGTTATTGTATTAACATGCAAAGTGTGTTAACACACTTTGCTTAAAATAAAACTGGCATGCTCAAGTAAATAGATAATGAATAGTAAAAACATTAAGTTAATAAAATGCTGTTTAATAGTTTTTTCACCTTAGTCTTTGAATTTCATTTATTTTATGCTCCATAACTACAAAACTACAAAATGAGTTGGTGCACAAATAGGTTTAAATTTAAACTGAACAATAAATTTAACAAAATTAAAATTTAAGAATAAAATAATAAATAATATTTTTCATTATATTACACTATTAAATTATTATTAACAAATTTATTTATATTATCATATTTCTTACATCTACAAGAATACTATGGTAATATTTTTAAAAATAGATTTAGTTATTTATTGCATATGCAATAGCTATTTATAATTTTAAATTTAAAAATAATTTTAAAATACAAGTTATCTAGATATAGCTTGTATATTTCTAGATATAGCTTGTATTCTCTCCCATCAAGGCTGCAAGCAACCACTATTTAGTTGGGAGTTACTAAAAAAAAAAAAAGAGTTATAGAGCAAGGGAACTGTTGACAGAAGACTTAAAAAGTTGAAGGTTGTATGAGTCAGGGAAACATGAGGATGGGAGAGAGTTCCAAAGGGTTGAGGTGTGGGGGAAAAAACTAGACAAATAAAAGTTTTTAGCATGCAGGGACAAATAAAGTAAATGAATAAGACTTTGCTGAATGACGAGTCAAACGAGAATGAGTTTTAGTTGATGGAACTATAGATGATAGTTCCTTTGAGTATTTGCGGAAAAGAGTAAGAGATGCAATTTTATGACAATGGAAAAGAGGCTCAAGCTTAGCAGATAAAGCGGACCCAATTTTGTTTATAATGTGTTTTTGGACCTTGTCTAGGAGAGAAAGAGTATCATTAGAAGAACCAGCCCAAATATGACAACAGTATTCTATACAGGGATGAGTAAGAGATTTGTAGAGGTAAAGAATAGAAATAGAATCAGGAGAGAGAAAACGGTGAGCACAATAAAGAGAAGCAACCTTAGCAGATGCTAATTTAGCGATCGTTTGTATATATGGTTTCCATGAAAGGTCAGTAGTAAACAATAATCCAAGAAAACATAAAGAAGAGGACTCAGTGAGAGGGTTGCCATTCATTAACATAGGAATGTTGACAGTACTGCAATAGTTTTTTGCAGTAGAGAACTGAGTTTTGTTGGAGTCAAAATTGACAAGCCACTATAAGCCCCAATCTGTTACAGAAGTGAGATCATATTCAAGATCTGCTTTCTGTTCTAAGCAATCGAAAAGAGAAGACTTTTTGTCAAGGCAGGAGTATTATGTTGAGCAAAATCATCAGCAAAAAGAGCCACTTTAGATGTTAGGTTGTCAGGTAGATCATTAATGTAGATAAGAAACAAAACAGAACCAAAAATAGAACCTTGAGGTACTCCATAAGTAACTTGAAATAAAGAAGAGAGTGTTGGCCTTCAAGGATGACTTTAATAAAGTGGTTAGAAAGAAACGATTTGATAATCTTAAAAACTTTCCCAGATACACCATATGAAACAAGCTTATGGAGAAGACCAGCATACCAAACTTTGTCAAAAGCCTTAGATATGTCAAGAGCAATAGCCCTAACCTTTCCACCTCCATCTAATGCACTATAAAATCTTTCAGTCACAGCAGTTAGCAAGTCAGCGGTATAGCAATAGGATTGAAAACAGTATTGATTGTTTGGCAATAAGTTATTTTACTCAAGATGGGATGTGAGAAATTTGTTTACCAAAGTCTCAAAAATTTGCTGATAACAGAAAGAGGACTGATCGGACAATTATTGGAAGGGTCAAAATGTTCACGTTTTTGAAAATTGGAACAACATATGCCATTTTCCATCAGGCAGGAAAGCAAGACTCATTCAAGCACTTATTAAATAGTTTAGAGAGAATTGAAGAGAGTTCCAGAGAACAATTTTTGTAAAACTATGGAATGTTGTTCAGACCACAAGCTGTAGAAGAGTTTGATAAAAATATGACTTTAGCAATGGAAGCTGGAGTGATTTGAATGTCTAACAATGGGTTAACCTGTTTAATTGAAATGGAAATAAGAGAATGACCATAAGATTAGAGAGTCGAATTGGATGAAAAGTTCTTTGCAATTAGATTGTCCTTGGGAGAGGTAATAAGATCAGTCCCATGAATGAGAGATGGAATGTTAGACCTACCTTTGTTAATGATGCTGTTGAAAATTTTCCAAAAGTCTTTACAGCCTAAGTTCTGAGATAAGATAAGAGATTTAGTGAACTGAGAATAATGGAACTTAGCATCTAACAGCACCTTTTTACATCGGTTTTTTGCAATAATTAATAGCCGTTTTTTCTGCAGAGATTTATTCTTTTGAAAAAGATAAAAAAAATGATTACAATTAGATATAGCAGCTGCACAAGAGGTTCAAAACATGGAGTAGAATGACGCTTGACTTGGAACCGACAAGAAGAAATAAAAACTTCCACTCCTGTCTGAATCAAGGAGGTTAAGCAGGAGGCGCATTTTTCAGCTGAGAGGAAAAGACATCAACCCAAGGACCGCCACAAAGAAAATCAAAAAAAAGTCCCAGTCAGCTTTAGGGTAATAGTAATTAGTGTGATGACAGAAAGAGTTTGAAAAGGAAGTATAACATGAAAGATTTAAAGAGATCATTGCATGGTCAGAACCACCTAGAGGAGAAAAAGGAGAAATTGAACACAAGCTAGGATCAGAGACCAGACATAAATCAATGAGAGAAGGTAAATGATTAGTGTTGTTAGGAAAATGAAACACAAATTTAAATATCTGAGTAAGAGATTGAGAAATGCAGAAGTTATAAGCTTTAGTGCCAGCAGGGTCTGTGGCATTAGAGCCAAGCCATTTAGTGTGATGAGCATTAATGTCACTAATAACAACAATATTGGCAGACGGGGTAAAGAGAGAGCATGGTCAATTTAATCAGAAATTAAATCTAAAAGAATGCACTCTTGAAAAGAAGGAGAACAGTAAAGAATAAAGAAAAAGTTGATAGAGTGAAGAGGTGCTAAGCGGAAGTACATTAAAGAATGGTCAAAAGGTTCGAACCTAATTTCACAACAAATAGGTGAATTGATGTGTCTGTATACCCCCAAGCCAAGCATGTGACTATTAGAATCTTTGTGAATCAAAGGATAGTACCAATAAACACTGAGATCAGAAGAAGGAATAGTAAAATTTAAATTAGTCTTACTAAGAGCAAGCAAGTCTGGTGAATTTTGCAAGAGGTAAGATTCAACTGATGGAAGGTTGCTTCACAGAACACAAATATTAGTAAAAGATATATTAAAACAATTAGGTGGTGGGGATGGTTTTTTATGTTTAATATTTTGGTTTACTTTTGGCATGTTTTAAGTTTAAAAAGAATTTGACTCATTTATAGATAGAGCACAGCCTTCTAAGCAATGAGCTATGCAATTTTCTCAGCATACCCACTATCAAGGAGGCACAAGCAAAAACCTATGAGAAGAGTCAAGAAGGTCCAGCATTAGTTACATCATTAGTTACATCATTCTATTTATAAATTTTTCTGCCTGCTTTGTTACTACATTGTCACGATAACTTCATCGGTCTTAAAAAAAAAACAAATTAATTGATATTAAAAACAAAACATTGGCCTAAACTACTACTTTATTTATTTCTAAGCTAAAAACTTAACTTATGCTGTTTATTAAACATATTTATTATTTTATATCTTTCAATTTATTCTCCTTTAGTTTGTTGAATCGAGTGTCAGCTTTTTACCGTGGAGAAAAATGGTGGCTTCTGCTAACTAGTATTCTACGTACTGCATTAAAGCAAGAGAATTTTATGTTTTTATGTTTTTATGACTGTTTTTAATTTTTTGATAACTAATTTTTCTTGATTAATTTTTTCAGTTGTGCATATTTAACAGCTAATGTTCAGGATTATGTAACTCTTTGTCTGGAATTGCTCTCAAACAGTAAATATCTATTTTTAAATTCTTATAAATTTTCCTGTTTTTTTTTTTTTTTTTTTTTAATGTGTAATATTTATTAGTAAATAACTTAAAAGAGTGAACATATTTTTGATTTTGTTGAATGTAAAAAACCATAATATGATGATATACTATATTAATATGAGTAAATTTCAAATTAATCTAGTATTTTAAAAATTTGAATTTTAGTAAAAAATCCGGAAGTAATTTAAGTTAATTATATAATTTCAAGTTTTGATAAAATTTTCATGTAAAAACATTCAAAAAGAACTCGTATTAACTCTAAAAAAGTTAATCTAAATTGTTGTACACAACAAATCGGGTAACAGATCAATCAGACATTATTGCACCAATGAATTTTATCTTAAAGTATTGGATTAAAATTTTAATGGATTGAAGTCTGTTGATATTTGTCAGTTTTAATTAAGGGTTTCCTAGTTTTCTTAGTTTTAAGATTTCGTTGGTGCTATGAACAATTTGTTGAAGCAAAGGAGCAATAACCTAGTGCATCAAATAATTCCGTTAAGAAAAAAGAGTTAATATGATAAACAAAAACAAATTCTATTAATATTCAAGAGAAATTAATATTCATATAGAAATTATATATATATATATATATATATATATATATATATATATATATATATATATATATATATATATATATATATACATACATACATACATACATATATATATGTATGTATATATATATATATATATATATATATATATATATATATATATACATACATACATACATACATATATATATGTATGTATATATATATATATATATATATATATATATATATATATATATTTATTTATTTATATATATATATATATATATATATAAATATATATATATATATTTGTATATATATATATATATTAACTAAAATGCTACATATATATATTAACTAAAATGATATATATATTAACTAAAATGCTGCATATATATATATATATATATATATATATATATATATATATATATATATATATATATATATATATATAGATATAGATATAGATATAGATATAGATATAGATATATATAGTTATATATAGATATATATAGATATATAGATATAGAAATTAAGCAAGAATTTTGTTATAACAAAATAATTTTTATATTTGTTAATATATGGATTATCATATTATGATATTATATATTAATAAACAGTGATCATAGATTATCTTTTTCCGGATATTTCCGGAATTCCGAATATTTTTCTCAACTTGTGGTTTTTCCGGATATCCAAAACGTTTTCCATACACACAAGTTTAGGTGTATATTTTTGTAATGTATATATTTTTTAAGCTTTTTCACTTATCACGCATGCAAAAATTAAGAAAATTTTGGAAAAAATATTGGAAACAACTCAGCTAAAAGCAAAATTAAGAAGAAAATAAGGGAAATTATATTCCGGATTTTTTCCGGATATTATACCCAAACAAATTTCCGGATTTTAAAAATATGACCTGGCATGGCCTACTTGAATTACACGGCCTGATTTGTTGCATTTTCCGTAAAAAATTAAGAGGCCAGTTTTTTTACGGCTCAAGTATAAAAACTTCATTTTTGTTATGGTTAAGAGTCTTGTTTGCACTATAATTGTTTTATTTTTATTTTATTAAAATGGTTTAATAATAGTTAGATTTTCTTTGAGTATATACATTATTTTGTGCTGGATTTTCTGTTAACTGATTGCCTGCTTCAGTTTATTCCAACAACACAGAATACTGAAATAGGCTTTCAGATAACTATATCAAAGCATGCCAACATGCTACTAAAAATAATCTTTCATGTTGCTAAGATTGTCTAAAACTCTCTATTGAACAAAAAAAAGGTTTGTACTTTTGCATTTTTTATAATTGAAATTAAAAGAAAAATTTTTTGTTAGAAATGTTTATTTTGTCATTGTCTTTTTTAGAATTCTTTTACCTGATCTTTTCTCAATGAATATGTAATTTTTTATTATAAAAAATATTGTTAACAATACGAAATCTATATTTGATTCTTAATTTTTGGTGGTTTTTATTTGTAAAATTAAAACTCCTAGATCAAATCTTTAAAATTTGTTTTACAAATTTTTAATTGAAAAAGAATAACTGCAATGTTTCATTAGAGAAATAACATAAAATACTAAAAAGATGACAAATAAAATTAGACAGAGGTTGAATTGAGTATATAGGTTCTTCTCTTTATAACGTTTATTGATCATAAGTTTTACATTAAAATCTTTTTGTTAATTTTTACTATTATTACTTGCTTTAGTATATATATATCTGTGCTATCTTCAGAAAGCTGACAGTAGTATTTATGTAGACAACTTTTTACTAATGCATATTTCTAAAAGACTCACAAAAAGTCTACTACTGGTCATTTAACTATACTTACTAAAACCTAGCTTTAAAGGATCACTTTGTAAATAGGAACTATAAACAAATGTAAAGCCTTCTTTAAGGAAATCATGCATAAGAAATACAATTACTTTTAGTGTTGTAATTAGAGCACAAAAAGTTTGTTTGGTTAATGTAAAGTATTTATCAAATTTTATTTTGATCAAATTTCAGTACAATTTGCAATTTCTCTATAAAGTGTGGGTTTGTTATCACCTTTCAAAGCAACACTGCTGAGTTTGATTGGATGAATTAAGTTTCTGCTTTGAATTAAGTATGATAAATAACTTATAAAACAATGATAAAAATTGTGCTGCGTTATTTCTTTCAGAAAAATAACTCTAAATTACAGCTGCAGTTGTTTCGTCAAATATTTTCAATATTGACAACTTGTTTGTTGTTTCCAAAATATGTGACTTGATAATTAATTTTTATTGCTTTTTCTTGTCTGTTTAATAATTGATCTTTTAATAAACTTTAAGAAATATATTCCCTGTAATGTAATCAGCAGTAACCTCAACAAGAAAAAAACAAAAACTGAGGATAACAAGTATGTTTTAAACACTCCTTTTCTAAACTAAATGATAAATTAATACTTTTCCATCTCCAGTATATGCTTTATTAAACTACAAAAATGCATTAACATTTGTAGAATGGTTATCGGTAACAACAGCTCTTATCTTGAATTCAGATTGGTGCATTGAGGTAATATACTCATCAATTTCTTTTTTCAAACATAAACCAGTTATGTAAACTTTAGATGAGGATTTCAAAACATAAGAATAAATTTTTGAAGCCCTACAATCATAAAAACAAAAAACTTCTTTAAAAACTTCTTTAAAAAGATTATTTTCTCAATCTTCATCAAATCGTTTACCACTTTGGTATTGGGCTGCTTTTTGGAAGTACATCTTACCCACAAGAAGCAAATAAACTCTTGATACCAAATTTTTGTCAATGATTTTTCAAATATATTGTAATTTTTTAATTTTTAATTTTCACCACTGCGAAATCATTTAAATAAAGAAATATGATCAGCATTTATTTGGCAATGAAAAAAATTAGAAATTTATTAACAGCTATTGACTCCAAAACAGTTGGTATGCCTGATATTTCTTGCCTACTGTAAATAAATGGCCTGATTTGTTGCATTTTAATTACTGAATGTTTGAGACATGCAGCATAATAAAGTATTTACATTGGAAAACCTTGTTTTGCAGTGTAAATATTTTGAAGAAAAGTTTATGTTTTCTACTTAACAATTGCAATTATATTAAATACAAAATTACAAACCTTTAAAATTATTTCCAATGGAGAATTGTGAGTAGTTTTAGCAATATGTAAGATTATTTTTAATAGCATGTTGGTTTGTGTTAATATAGCTATCTGAAAGCCTATTTCAGTATTCTTTATTATTGGAATAAACTGAAGCAGGCAATCAGTTAACAAAAAATCTAGCACAAAATAATGTAAGTTCTCAAAGAAAATCTAACTATTATTAAACCATTTGAATAAAATAAAGATAAAACAACTATAGTGCAAACAAGACTCTTAACCATAACAAAAATGAAGTTTTTATACTTGAGCCGTAAAAAAACTGGCCTCTTAATTTTTTACGGAAAATGCAACAAATCAGGCCGTGTAATTATAGTAGGCCATGGACCTGGATGATCTATGATTGATGCTTATTATATAGTAACAATAATTAATACCTATCTGGATACAAGGACTACTTAATATACAAACTAAAATGCTTAGATGACCTCTATTACTCAATTTGTAGGCAAGCCAATTCATTGTTGAAAACCAATTAAATGTTTATGATATTGTAATTCAATATAGAAACTTTCAATAACAATCAAAACAGTTTTAATAGTAACTATATTCAATATAGTAGATTTATATAAAGATACACACACATACACACACACACACACCCAAACACACACACACACACATACATTTATAATAAAGGTTTAAAATAAATCAACGCTAACAAACTAGACTATGGTTTGTATTAGTGTTGTTATTTATATGTTTGCACTTCCAGCAAACTTGTCAATTTCGTAAAGATAAAATAAATAAAACATTTAATATAAAAATGCAAATACTCGCTATTCAACTTAATTGAATGGCAAGTAACATGAGAATGATTTTTAGTAAATGGCATAACAGGCGCTCTGTCCATTATAGTATTTGAAGAAAAGAGAAAGAAAAGCAACATTATGACGATGTGATAATGGTTGAAGGTTGGCTGCAAGAGAAGCTTCAAATATGTTTACAATTCGTTTTTGTACCTTGTCTAAAAGAGAAAGGGCATCATTAGAAGGTCTCCCCCATATATGACAACAGTATTCCATACAAGGCTGCATTTGAGATTGATAGAGAATAGAATCCGGAGTAAGAAAGTGTCGAGCTCGATAAGCAAGCAGAGCAGATGCTAATTTTGCAGCGGATTTGATATATGGTTTTCAAGAAAGATCAGAAATAAGAGTTAATCCTAGAAGATGAAGGGTAGATGACTCATCAAGTACATTACCGTTCATAAATATAGGAAGATCTAAATTATTGTGATAATGATTGGCTGAAAAAAATTGAGTTTTATCTGAATTAAAGTTAACCAGCCACTGTGAGCCCCATGCTGTAGCATAAGTGAGATTCTTTTCAAACTCAAATTCCCCCTCCAAGCAATCAGAGAGTGTTGGCTTCTTATCATGACAAGAATAAATGGTAGTATCATCAGCGAACAATAACACCTTAGATGTGAGAGTATCTGCAAGATCGTTAATGTAAAATAAAAAGAGTATACAGCCAAGGATTGAACCTTGAGGAACCCCTGAAGTTACAGGATATAAAAAAGAGTGCTGTCCATCGAAGACAACTTTTATACTACGATTGGAAAGGAAGGATTCAATAATCTTAAAGATGTTACCAGATACACCATAAAAAGAGTTTATGGAGAAGACCAGCATGCCAAACTTTATCAAAAGCTTTAAAAATTTCGAGAGCGATAGCCTTAACCCCTCCACCTTTATCTAATGCACGATAAAGCCTATTGATTATTACTGTTAGCAAATCAGCTGTAGAATGAGAAGATGGAAATCCATATTGATGATCAGAAAGTAAGTTATTAGATTCAAGATGAGAGATTAAGTGTTTCTTAATTAAAGATTCAAAAACCTTGTTTATGATAGGAAGAAGTTTAATGGGACGGTAGTTCGACAAATCGAATCACTCTCCAAAACTTTGAAAAATAGGGGTAACAGATGGCGCTTTCCAGCAGGCTGGAAAACAAGACTCTGATAAGCACTTGTTAAATAGTTTTGAAAGTATAGACGACAGCTCCAGAGAACACTTCTGCAAGACTATTACAGGTATGTTTTCCAGGCCACAAGCTGTCTGAAGAGTCTAAGCAGGAAATCACTTTAGATACAGAAGCTGAAGTGATAAGAATGTCAAGCAATGGATCAATCTGTTTGATGACTAACTCTGGTAGAACTCAACTAGTGGAATCAAGAGATGATATTGATGAAAAGTTCTTAGCAAACAATTTAGCTTTGTCTTTAGGTGAGGTGGCAAAGTCTTAACAATACAAGAGAGGTGGAATAATGAATTTGCCCTTTCTATTGATACTGTTAAAGATTCTCCAGAAGTCACGAGAGCCTAATTTTTATTATGAATTATGAGATTCCATAACCTAAGAATAGTGGGCTTTGGCGTTAGACAAAATCTTTTTACAATGGTTCCTAGCAGTAATAAACAGACGTCTGTTTTCTGGAGAATTGTTTTGCTGATATATATGGAAGTAACGGTTTTGATTGGAAATTGCAGCAGCACAATGTGAGGAAAACCAGGGAGAAGAATGAGGTTTGACCTGGAATCATCGAGAGGGAATAAAAGATTCCATGCCAGCCTGAATCCACTAAGTTATGTAAAAAGCATATTTGTCAGCAGGAAGTCGAATGATTTCTACCCAAGGGCCGTCACAAAGAAAATCATGGAAAGAGTGCCAGTCAGCTTTAAGGTAGCTGTAAGAGGTGCGATGATAGGGGGATTCAGATGATGAAGAAGAATGATATGATATTTTTAGAGAGATCAAACCGTGATCAGAAACACCTAAGGGTGAATGTGGAAAAACTGAGCACTGACTAGGATCAGAAACAAGACATAAGCCAAGTAGAGAAGGTAAATGATTCAGGTTGTCTGGAAAGCGAGATGGAAAGTTGACTATTTGAGTTAGGGATTGAGTAAGGCAAAAGTTTTGGACTTTAACGCTTGCAGAGTCACTGAAACTAGAGCCAAGCCATTCAGTGTGATAAGCATTAAAGTTACCAACAACCACAATATTGGCTGATGGATAAAGAAAAATAGGCTCGGTCATTTTGATCAGAAATAATATTGAAAGAGTGCAGTCAGATGAAGGAGAGCGATATAGAACAAAGAGAAAGGCAATAGAGTGAAGTGGTGCTAAACGAAAGCACATAAAAGAATAGTTGGTGGATTCAAACCTAGTTTCCTGATAAATCAGTGAATTCTTATGAATGTAAATGCCCAGACCAAGCATGTGACTATTATAGTGTTTACGAATTAAAGGAAGATAACCATCAACACTAAGATTGCAAAATGAGACAGCTTAACTCAAATTAGTCTCACAATAAGCAAGTAGGTCTGGTGAACTTTGCATGAGATAAGACTCAACTGAAGAAAAGTTACTTTGAAGACCACAAATATCAGTGTTAAGGAGACAGTATTAATAAATATATCTAAGCGCTACAGCATACAGCAATAAAAATATTTAAACAATAACAGTATTAATAAATATATCTAAACGCTACTTGGCTTTACTTAATAATATTGTCAAAAACAAGAATTCTTTTGGTTTATGTTTATGAAAGTAAGACCCAGAATTTCTACTAAAAGTTATTTTCTCAACTTAGTGTGCAGATCAGAATAATTCTATATAGAGTATTTTACAAATAAATTAATTTGCTTCAAAGTTTAAACATTTAGTTAGGCTATCAAAATGTTAATTTTTTCTTAATATGCTTTTATGCTCTATATTTTTGTGCTTTAATATCTGAAGTTATTATCTTGAAGTTATTATGTGATTATCTGAAGTTGTAATATCTGAAGTTATTGTTATTGAAGTTATCTATTCTTTGTGCTTTAATATCATATATATCTATAGATATCAAAGAAATATCTGAAGTTATTCTTAAATTAAATCAACTACAAATAATCTTGTGACATACTGAAAATAGTGTTATGCGATGCACTAAGTGACTAGATTTAAGCTTGTATTGTGTCTGCATACTCATACTGTATTTTGTGCTTTTTGTGTTTCAGTTGAAAAACTAACTAGCTATATGGGCACATTCAACATAAAATTATTCCATTCAGATAAAAGTTTTTTTATTTAGTGAGTTTCTGCATTTAAAGTTTTCAATATGCAAAGCATAATGTTAACATATATACATTATTTTTGTTTTTAATGTAAAAGTAATGTTTAAAATACAGTCAATAACCATTATTCTTTTGCCAATCTATTTCAGTCAATGTTATTAGTAGTACATATTAAAGATTGGCTAAAAATATAGATATATTTAAAAATAGATTGTTGAGTTGTATTTCTTTAAAACTATTTTTTTTATAGGTGAGGTGCAGTTATATTATATGTAATTATATAATTATATAACTCATTTTGTTCCTAGATTGTTGTCTTGAAGCAGATGAAAAAACAAGAATTCAAATGAATTTAATGAGAGTAGTAAAGGTATTTATTTTGATTAAATTTATTTAAGTTTTCACCATTTATAAATAATTTTCAGTATTTTAAAATATTACAAAAACACTCACAAACATTACAAATATTTATAACTTTATTTTTTGACTATTTAAATTTTGTTTTTACTCTATGTTAAAGAGAAGGTAGTAGTTGATGAAGGTTTAGAAGATGTTGCATATGAGTTTAGAAGATTGTTTATGATGTTTTAGAAAATAGTTGCAGATGGGTTAGAATTTAGAAGGGGTAGTTAATATTCATTTTCAGCGTAAGCGATTATATTTGACCGTCAATTTCACGCACTTAAATTTTAAATGTCAGTTTTTACTTTAAGGAATGTATAATATATTGTGCTTAGTAGGAATGTATAAAATATTAGAATGTGGTTTTTATCAGTAGCAATAAAATATTTTTAATCTTAGAATAGTCAAATAATAAAAAATGATTTGGTATCTTTAGCAAATGAATCCAGAACCAGAAAGTAGATGTAACCAATCAACAATTGAAAAAGTTAAAGACCTTTGGAAGTCTGAAATTGATGTAGGCAAGCAAAATGATAAAAAATATACCATCAATCTAGAGAGTCTTGCTTCATTTGGTATAAATATATATATTTGTATATTTTTCAATTAATATATATATATATATATATATATATATATATATATATATATATATATATATATATATATATAGATATATATATATATATATATATATATATTTGTGTGTGTGTATATATATATTTGTGTGTTTATATATATATTTGGTATAAATATATATATTTGTATATTTTTCAATTAATATATATATATATATATATTTATATATATATATATATATATATATATATATATATATATATATATATATATATATATATATATATATAATACATATAAAAACCTAACAATAGTGCACATATATATATTTGTAATTAATGATAAAATAAAAAGATTAAAATAATATATATATTTTTATTTGTTTTCATGCATTTAATAAAATTCTGGCGATTTTTCGTTAAGTTTTTGTTTACTAAATGAATTACGTCATTAAGTAATTATTATTTCTTCCTGTTGGCTTGAAAAGGTTTTAACTGAAACTTTTTATTATAAAGAGAATTAAAAAAAAAACTTTTTTTTTTTATATGTATTAAAATTATTTATTTTATTGTTTTTTTGTTTGTTTATGTACTATTATTTTGGTTGACATATAGATGTTTAGAAAAGATTTATATATTTAAAAATTTAACTTAGCAGCATTATAAAAATTCAATCTTATAAAAATAAAGCAATACGCATAAACGTAAGAAGTGTAAGTAAAAACTTTGTCAAACCAATTACTCAATTAAGTAATAATAAAGATGTAAAACTAAAATATTTTTCTGAAGTTGCTCTTGGTCTTCGAAAAAACTATTACCAGTTTGATAACTTTCACGAATGTTATGAAAAATCACTCAGTAAGAGTGCCACCAGTTTTTAAAAAATTTCTTTGTTAATTATTTTTAATGAATGAGTTCAATACTTATGCAATTCTTTTGTTACATAACTTTAACTCTTAATAATAGATAAAAAAAATCATGATAACCGCTCGATAATGTTTTTATTTATGATGTTTTAGAATATATTTGTGTGTTTATATATATATTTGGTATAAATATATATATTTGTATATTTTTCAATTAATATATATATATATATATATATATATATATATATATATATATATATATATATATATATATATATATATATATATATATATATACACACACACATATGTATACATATATACATGATAACCTTTTTCAGAAATTAAAAGTTTCTATATGTATATTTTTATATTTTTTATAATATAGTAATCATTTGTTGAATTATGTAAATTTATTTTATTAATAGCATTTTATACATTTGTCATATATAGTTGAATGTCGGCCATCTTTTGAACAAGACTCATTCTGTTTGGATGAAGTTGTTGTTATTAAAGTCTATCTGCGGTTTGTTTTCTTAGTAATAATAAAAACATAAATAGTAATAATAATACATATTAATAATAAATGCAAACAATTTGTATTTCACTTAATAACTTTTGTTTAAGGTCTGTTGCTGCATATCCAATTCGTTTCTCAGAGCTTGGTCTCCAGTTTAGTAATCCAGTAACTATTAATTTTTGTCAAAAACATAGTTTTAGTAAAAAACAAAACAAAAAAATACATTTTCTCAAATTTTTGTTATTTGTTTCTTGAAAAAATTGCAATTTAAATATATTAAACTCTAGATACATAATGTGGAATGCAAAAAAACTGACAATAATGATGCTGCTGACCAATTTAGTGGTGATTCAGATCTTTATTTAGAACCGGGAAAAGTAAAAGTTCATTCTTTTAAGTTGGTTTTGTCACCAACAGATCTAAATCAAAAATTGGAAGTAGGTATTCTGTTTTTTATTTTTTATTATTTTTTTTTTGGTTCTCTTCTTTATATATATATATATATATATATATATATATATATAGTCTTGCATGTCTCTTGCGTAGCATCAAAAAATATTTCCCATAAACTGTAGTTTTAAAGAGCGCGTTAATAAACCAGACCAGAAAAAGTTTTAAAAATTAAATTTTTTTTTTTAATTGATAGACTGCCTGGCCAAACCAAACCCTCAGTCGATGTAGCAGCACTCTCTTGCGAGTCAGGCTATTTGTCAGTCGTTGTAGCAGCACTCCCTTGCGAGTCAGGCTATTTGTCAGTCGATGTAGCAGCATTCCCTTGCGAGTCAGGCTATTTGTCAGTCGATGTAGCAGCACTCCGTTGCGAGTCAGGCTATTTGTCAGTCGATGTAGCAGCACTCCGTTGCGAGTCAGGCTATTTGTCAGTCGATGTAGCAGCACTCCGTTGCGAGTCAAGCTATAAGATAGTCGATGTAGCAACATTTACGCATGTTTAAAAAATGTTTTTTATTAAATCAATAACAAAAACACCACTAATTAAAAAAAACTTTCTAGTCGTTATAATTGCGGTTTTTTAAAAATTTGTTAAAAAACAATTAAATTTAATGTACTTCCGCATAAATTAATTGCTTTGACATTTCGACGACAATCAAAAACAGCTTAAGAGACGAGTAATTAAAATTGTAGTCGTAAGAGACTTTTTTTACATTAAAATGCTCTTAAAGCGACACTATATGAGTATATATATACTCTTGCATGTCTCTTGCATGGCATCAAAAAAAGTTTCCCATAAACTGTAGTTTTAAAGAGCGCGTTAATAAACCAGACCAGAAAAAGTTTTAAAAATTAAATTTTTTTTTTAATTGATAGACTGCCTGGCCAAACCAAACCCTCAGTCGATGTAGCAGCACTCTCTTGCGAGTCAGGCTATTTATCAGTCGTTGTAGCAGCACTCCCTTGCGAGTCAGGCTATTTGTCAGTCGATGTAGCAGTATTCCCTTGCGAGTCAGGCTATTTGTCAGTCGATGTAGCAGCACTTCGTTGCGAGTCAGGCTATAAGATAGTCAATGTAGCAACATTTACGCATGTTTTAAAAATGTTTTTTATTAAATCAATAACAAAAACACCACTTATTAAAAAAAACTTTCTAGTCGTTATAATTGCGGTTTTTTAAAAAATTTTTAAAAAACGATTAAATTTAATGTACTTCCGCATAAATTAATTGCTTTGACATTTCGATGACAATCAAAAACAGCTTAAGAGACGAGGTAATTAAAATTGTAGTCGTAAGAGACTTTTTTTACATTAAAACGCTCTTTCGACTACACTATATGGGTATATATATATATATATATATATATATATATATATATATATATATATATATATATATATATATATATATATATATATATATATATATATATATATATAGAGAGAGAGAGAGAGAGAGAGAGAGAGAGAGAGAGAGAGAGAGAGAGAGAGAGAGAGTCAAGCACTATATATATTTATACTGATCTATTTTGAAAACAATTAACATTATATTGAGCACTCTTAAACACATAAGAAATTTTTTGTATAACTTGATACAATAAACAGAAATATATATATATATATATATATATATATATATATATATATATATATATATATATATATAATGTAATTAAAATTTTATCCAGTTTATTATTAAAGTCTTTAAAGTATAAATAGCTTATAAGTATATTAATATTGAAGATTGTTTTTATTTTAATAAATCTTATTTATTATATGTTTTAGAATAGAGTAGAATAGAATTTATAACTATTATTATTTGTGTTGTAGATAAAGCAAGTGTACCTATCACTTGGGGGTAAATTTATTCTCCGTTGGAATGGAGCTGGTTTAGACGCTAACATAAGTCCACAATATGATTCTTATAATTATGGTGGAGAACGACTGCCTGTTAAACTTGGAAAAGATGGTAACATACTTTGGGAATCAGTGACCATATCACCATTTACTAAGTATGGATTTTTATTACTAATAAAGTAATATTCTTTAATCATCATGTATAATCATTTTTTAATTTCTATAGCATTTTACCAAGAGAAGCAAAAGTCCATTTAAACATTAGTCATAATCAACCGATGTTAATTGATGAGTTCTATCGATTTGAAATCAATATTAAAAATTTAGAAACAACTCCTATTCATAATACAAGGTATATTAAATAGTATATATATATATATATATATATATATATATATATATATATATATATATATATATATATATATATATAAATTATGTTAGTGTATTCTACAAATATTGTGCTCAATGTTCTTAAAGAACAGAGCAATAATAAATTAGTAAAAACTAATATTAAGTCAACAAGTTGTTTCTCCTACTGATGGAGAAATAACTTGTTGAAGACAAAAATTAGATAAGTGTTTTTAATATTTTTCTCAAAGTTACAAAAAGCAAAAAAATTTAATTATAGTAAACCAATTAGAAAATCTTTTTATGATTGACTATGCTACAATAGTTGTTATTTTTATGTTTATATTTTCATTTTTGTTTCCCATAAGTATTTTGCAATTTTATTTTGTTTTTTATAGACTGTTTATGGTTTGCCAATCTTTTTTTCCTCTCACGCGTGAACTAATATAAGCTTTATTGGGTATTTTAGGGAATGATGTAATGCGTTTGAAAATAGTATTTATTTTTCTACAATTTCTATTCATTGAGTGAAGTCTGATGTAATGAAGTTGTAGAAGAAAAAGCATAATGTAAAAATGTAGTAATGTGTAGATCTTTTTCAAGTTCTGATGTCACAGAGTTGATTTTTTAACAACATTACTTATTTGATAAAAAATTTGCCAAAGAGCTATAAAAGTTTCTACTGCTTATTGTAGTAGAAATCAGGCATATTAAGAGTTAGTACAACAATTAAAAATTCCACAATAAAAGTGAACAATAAGTTAAAGTAAATAATGTATGAAATATATAATTCACTATGCAAAGTTATTATTCAAAAGTTTAAAGTGTAATAATTTTATATTTTATCAGTTAAATAATTTTATATTTTGTCAATATAATTTAGAGTATAATAGTTTTATATTTATCAGTTAATGGAATCTAATCAAAAACAAGTGCATTTCAACACTCGTGCCTTTTAAAAAGCATTGCAGTTTATTATGCAATTAATTTGTATTTTTTTATGAAAAAGACTTAGTATTTTTCACTTATATATATATATATATATATATATATATATATATATATATATATATATATATATATATATATATATATATATATATGAAGACCTCAGTGGAAAAACCAGCGTTGTCACATTTTAAAAGTTTTGAGAAAATATTTATTGATCATTAATAAAAGTCTTTATATAAAGCAACAAAAAAAAAGGAATTTCTAATAAAAATTATATAAATTTTTTTTATAATTAAACTTTAAATAAATTAAACAAAATATTGTTTTTTTTTTCTCATCTTTAATTTTCTTTGCCTAATATAAAAACTTTTATTAATGATCAATAAATCCTTTCTCAAAACTTTTTAAATGTGACAACGCAGGTTTTTCCACTGAGGTCTTCATATATATATATATATATATATATATATATATATATATATATATATATATATAATATATATATATATATATATATATATATATATATATATATATATATATATATATATATATATATATATATATATATATATATATATGTATGTATGTATGTATGTATGTATATATATATGTATATGTATATATATATGTCTATGATTTTTATAGACTTACAGTAAAATTGATATCAGATGAACAAGATGCTAGTGAGTCTAATAATTTTGTATTTTATATAAAATAGTATAAATTTAGATAATATGAAACATTTCTTTCCTTTTTTTTTTTTTTTTTGTGTGAATTTTTTAATTAATGTTCAAATATTAAGTCATACCTTTCAAACGTTACTTAGTTAACAGCAAGACTGATTCTACTGCATCTGCATTGTATTTGCATGAGGTTGAGAGAGATGTCTTAAACCATGCTGGTTTAAAATTAGTCGAGTTTGATTTGTCATCAATACAACCTGGAGAAATGGTTACATAAACTATTATTTTGATTTTAGTGTTTAAATTGTTTAAATTTTTTTTTTTTTTTCAATTTATTTGATAGCCATATGATGTCATTTTAATGATTAGGTATCATTATTGTATTAAAATATTTTGATTTCAGGTAAAAAATATTATGTTTGCAAAGACAAGTGAATTGGGAAAAAAAACTATTTTATTTAAAGTAATAATCTTTTGTAATATTTACAATGATGAAGATGATAATGAAGATAATAATTGATGATAATGTTTTCATTTTTTAGATTATTTATAATTTGGCTGTTCTAGTGGGCAACAAACAAATCGAGGTTGATTGTGTTTGTTCGAAGGTATGATTCATTAAAATTTATTTGACAATCATTAAAAATAACTAAATTTAAAGCTCATTTAAATTTTGAATTTTCACTTATACTTTTAAATTCTTAAATAAATTTATAAATTACAAGTTTATATTTTAAAATTGATTTCAATTTTCATTTATTCAATATATTATACATTCTTTATAGGTATGTATATTAAATATGTATACTATTGGTATGTATACTATAGGTGTATAAACTATTTAATAAGTATAATATTTAGAATTCTTTGTATTGCTATTGTTAACTGGTTTGATTATTGGCAGTGTTATACTGTTTGATTATGAGTAGTATTGTACTGATCAATTATTGGTCTGTTGTACTCTTTGATTATTGGCAGTATTGTATTGTTTGATTATTAGAAATGTTATAACTTTTTAATTTTTTGTTGGAGAATTTCATTACAAGTTTTTGTTTAAAATATAAAAGTTAAATGCTGTTTAAAAAAGAATTTGATTTTTCTCATCGAATCTCAATTTTAAAGTTTTTTTTTACTTTAAAGTACATCTTAAAAAAATGTCTTATTTGTTGAAGTAAAAAATAAAAACATTTCAGTCTCATTTTAAATCATGTACCTGTATAATTTCAATTTACTAAATCCTTTTTTTTAATTCTATTTAGTAAAACATGGACTTCATATAATTGCTTCGATTGTGATTCTAATTGTTTATTTACATTTTAAAAAGTTTGTTTACAATTTTGTTTATGAATGAAATGAAGTTCTGTAAAGGTTTTGTTAAAAGTAAAAATTTTTGTATTTAAGTTACATTTTTTCTATAAGTAAGCGCCTAATGTTCTTGTTGCTTTGCAACTAACTTTACTTTTTGTAATTTCAGCTACCCTTTTATAAAAGACTAGTCAATTCATACTGCTACCTACTGTAATATTAAACCATACTGCTACCATTAAAGGAGTGATTTAATGGTCTAGGTAAAAGTAGGTTTAAAGGGGTGGTTTTTGTTCTTTTGAAGGAACATGCTAATTGGGAAAATAGGGCAGAAAAAAAATAATTTTATCCTGACTTTCTTATGCAATTGTAATTGACTGAAAAACTTTATGCTTCTAGGAAGAGACCATAGTGATAGATACTCAAAAGCCTTTCTCTGTTACAGCTACCATCGCCGATATGCAGGTACAATGTACTTATATATTTTTTTTTATAATTTTATAACTTTTTGAACAGTTAATTTTTAAATATATATTTTTAAAATTTAAAAATTTTCCACTATTGTTTATCTTTAATTGGCATAATTTTTTTTTTTGTTGTACAATTTTTTTTTAAAACAATTTTTTTCTTCTTTACATTTGATCATTTGTTTTAGACATTTTGTATTTTAGTTCCAACCTATTCAAGAGGTTATTGAAAATAATCCATTTCTTGTTATGGTATACATCAATTGCATATCACCTTGGCCAATTCACATACTGAATTCTAAGTTTATATTGGTAAGAATAGTTGTTTATATTTGCAAAAATAAGGATTTAAATTAGGAATAATGTTGCTATCCAAGTTTCTATTTAATTCTTAGTTGATATTAAATGAATATATATATATATATATATATATATATATATATATATATATATATATATATATATATATATATATATATATATATTTGAATGTAGACATCATGTATGAAGCTATGTAAATTATTATTTTATAATATAATTATATATGAATTTATCTTGATTCTAAATTTATTTTTTAAAAGAAATTTTCACTGGATTGTTGTGACCAGCTTAAAAGTTTTTTGTTTGTTTTTATTTATCTCTTATTTTTAAAATGACGGTTCTATTTTATGTCAATGGGATGGTTTCATCGTTTTCTGACGTAAGTGCGCCAGAAATGGTGTCCAAAATTTTGTTGACACATATTGTTCCTCATCTAAATTGATACCATTTTGTTGAGGGACACATAGTTGGTACTGTATTTCAAGTGCCTCGCGAATTTTCCTATCAAACTTTTTAGCATCAACTTTTAGATATCTGTAACTGTCCGAATTAGTTTGTTGTGCACAATGTCTCATGTATTGGCTAATGCAGATGGTTCTGTTTTATTTCTTATTGTACTATTTTTGTGTTATTGCATACATGTTTTTATTACCTATATACTTTTTTTTTTAATATGGTTAAATATTACTGTAAATAAAAATTAACATATACAATAATTATATAAAAATAACAAAAATAATTATAAAAACACATTTTTATAAAAAAATATTAAATTTATATATGTATAAATAAAGAGACATTAAATAAAAATAAAAATAAAAAAAAGAAGAAAAAAATAGTAAAAAAAAAGTAGAAAAAAAAATTTTAAGGGAATAAAATAGAATGTTC